CCCGCCCCGCGCGCGGGGCCCCCGGCCTGCCAGTGGGGCGGGTTCCCAGGGGACTTACAGGCAGCCTGCGGGCTTGCTCCAGCCAGAAGCTGAGGGGCTGCTCCGTGTGGTAGTCATGGGGCTGCAGGGGGCAGAAATGTGACAGTGGGCAGGGGGCACGGTGTGCCTGGGAGGGACACGGGAGCCTTGCATGGTCCCTTGCCACAAGCGGGATGGGGGCATCCCCTGCCTGTACCTGACTGGGGGGCTGTTGAGTGAGCTCCCTGGTGTCTTGGTCCTGGTGCCTGGTGGAGACCGACTTTGCAGGCATCTGGGAGGAACTGGTCTCTTCCAGCATCTCCTTCCTGCTGGCAGAGTAGACCCCCACACCCCTCAGCTCTGGGGTCCCCCCCACCCTGGGCAGGCACCCCCTCCTCTGGAGCATGGCTGCAGGGGTGGGTGGCACACAAGGGCACGAGCTTGCCTGTACTTTCGGTAGAGCATGGACTGCAGCGTGGCCTCCCGTTGTCCTGCAAGGGATGAGGTGCCATCAGCCCAGCAAGCTGAGATCTCCTCGCTGCCTTTTCTGGGGGACATATGGCTCGGGGGGGTTCAGCCTCACCTTGCCCCAGCATCTGGACGGAGTACGGTGGGCGGTAGTGATCCTTCATGGTGGTGGTGTTGGTGGGCCAGGCCAGGGACTGCTGGACTAGCAGCCCATGGTGGCCATGCCGATAGATGAAGCCCTCGTTGACTTCCTCGTGGTCTGGCATGAGGTCCAGGTGGTTCGTGGCTCTCTGGGGCCAGACAGTGGGGGATGTGGGAAGGGGGCAGGAGGCCACTCTGCCATACCCTGTGCCCCCTCCCAGCTTTTAGGCTTTTGATAGTCCCATGGGGCTGTGGGCAGGGCAGGGATGTAGGTTAGAGTCACCTCATCCTGCTGAGTGTCCATGAGCTGGGGTCAGTGCTCCATACCTAAAACCATGCCATGCAGGCAGGCACCCAACAGGAGCAAGCAGCCACAGAGGCATGAGCTGCAAAAAGGGGGACAGTCCTTCCAGCCAGTTTCTCAGGAAAGCACTGCCCTGACCCACTACTCAGCCCAGGCTGGCTCCAGGCCTTTGTGGCACTTGGAACAAACAGCGGTGTACCCAGGCTGGGGCAGGGCCTGGACCATGTCTCCCCCAGCCTGGCTTGCCCAAGCAGATGTCCTCACACCCCTGTGGCGGGCTGTGACACCCAGCTCCCACCACCCCAGCAGCCTGCTCCTGGCTCTGCTCTCAAAGCCTCCCCATTGCTCCCCACATGCCTGTCCCTGCCTTTTTGTGCTATTGAGTTTCATTCCCTTTCCATCCTGCTGAGCTCAAGGTCACCTAGGGAGCTCTGACTCAGCCAAGGGCAGCTGCCCTTTAAAGAGAGGAGGTTGCCCAGGAGTGGGGAGATCAGCATGTGGGACACAGTGGGGTGGATTTTGAGGGGCATTTTCTCCTTACGGCCCTCCAGGTAATAGTTGGGAGTTACCTCCTCCTGCCAGTTGTGGATCAAGCAGCTCCCTCGGGGCACCTTCCGTTTGGGCTGCACCAGCACCGTGATGGGGGGCACATTGCAGGGGCAAGTCCCCTGCGCCTCAGGGCAGGATGACAGCTCAACTACACAGGGCTCCTTCCCAGCCTCAGCAGGGGGCAGAGCACTGGGCACAGCTGGCAGGGCCTCGGGAGGCAGCTCCTCTGTGGCTGACTGCATCACCCCAGGCACCGCAGCTGTGGCTGACATCTCCTGGGGCATCTCGGTTGTGGCCACCACTGTGTCCTTGTGGCACAGGGGCTCCTCCTTGGGCACCTCAGGCAGGAGGGCATCACTCTGGACCCCCACCGTGTGTGGTGGCCTCTCCTCAAGGTACATAGAAGGCACATGGCCCGTCAGAGCCACCCTGCAGACAGAGAGAATCTGTGAGGAAAGACAGTGGGGCACATCCTCCCTGCCATATCCCCATCCCCTGCCAGCATGAGCAGGGCCCTGAGGCTGAGGACCCTCATGGTGTCACCCTTATCCTGGGGCAGGGGACTCCTCTCCCTCTGAAAGGGTGGAAGAAGTGCTTGCACTCTGGAGGTATCTTGCCCTCCAGAACTCCCCTCTA